CGTTACATTTACATTCCCCCCCTTTCCCCCAACTTAATTTTTTTTAATAGCAAGGTACCCCTTGTGACATATCAAATGAAATAACATGAAAAAAGAAAATGTTTGGTAAAATTTATTTTTTATTTGATAAGTCACAAGGGGGGAGGGGTACCTTGCTTTTAAACAAAATTATGGGTAGGGGAAAAGGGGGGGGTTATCTCACAAATTCATGAGCCGATTTTAATTTTTTTTTCATCAAACATTTTCTTTTTTCATGCTCTTTCATTTGATATGTCACAAGGGGTACCTTGCTATTAAAAAAAATTAAGTTGGAGGCAAGGGGGGAAAGGGGGGGAATGTAAATGTAACGTTGAATTCAAAACAATTGGGCCCCCTACGTCAATAGATGATTCCCGAAAACTGCATATTTCTATCTAATGCGGTTTTTACATAAATAAAGATGCAAGTTTTTAAAAAAACACTCTGTAGGCTATATAAAGCTCAAATACCACTGACTCCCTCATCACGAAATCTCAGAAACCATAAGACCTAGGAACCTGAAACTTGGCAGGCATCTTCCTTTTGGGTAGTAGACAAGAGATCCCTAAGAAAGGATTTTACCCTCCGACCTCTGGGCTCCGCCCCAGTGGCTCTGGAGTTTCCCATGTTAACCTTATGAGTACTCATATTTAAATGGAATTAATGAATCTTAACAGCTGTTTCAATTAAACAAGTTGGTTCTGTTCTATGATGTTCAAAAGCATTAAAGTTACCGGTACAAGGATTACCAACAGGGTGCAGCACTATCAATTTCTTTTACATTTATGACAACAGCTAATTTGCAACCAAAAGGTGAGTGAGCGTAGCGAACGAACTACAACCTGGAGGCGAGTTAGCATAGCAAACGAGCTAACCTGAAGGCAAGTGAGCGCAGCGAACGAGCTCTAACCTAAAAGTGAGTGAGCGTAGCGATCAAACTTCAACCAGGACGTCAGGACGTGATTGAGCCATGCGAACGAGATCATCTTGAAAATTAAGAAGTTAAACGGGGCAAAGCCCGTGGGTTAAAGCTAGTTCTCCATAAGAATAACATGGGAATTTTAAATTTAAAATTTTTTGGAATTTTTTCCGTAGCCACAAGGCGCACAATGACGCTTCAATATACTAATTTATTTGTTTTTTAAGCTCTAAAAAATGGTTTGGCCAAAGAAATTGTTAATTTTTTTGTTTTTAAGGTCAGAAATGGGAAAAACCTATTTTTACCCTATAAAACCCCGTTGCCATAGTCCGATTATGCTGGTTCGCAGACTCGTCCACTAATAAAAAAAGTGGACAGTAAAAAAGTAAAATAGGCTAGTGTAGGACCAAGGTTTGGACCGCTCCCATAGGGCTACACCCGGCAGGGTTGCCACCTTAGGTCAGGAAAAATTAGGACATTGCCCCCTTCCTCCCGGATTAACGTAGGCTTAAATACGGGCATAAGGAACCAAAATCGGCACTGTTCCGGCAGAATCGGGACAGGTGGCAACCCTGCTACATGGCTACACAAAATAAATACTGACAATAGTGTGGATAAAGAGGAAAAAATAAGAACCTAGTAGGCCTACCTAGCTTTCTATAAAAAAACACAAAACTAAAGCCATATTTTCTAAAAAGCATTATCATTACTATGCAAAGTTATTAAGTGTATTATTTTACCAAACCTGCACTTCATCCTTTCTTGTAAACCGGTACTCCTCTTTCCTAAGACTCTCCATGAAACTGGTTGCTTATCATGATGTGTTTGGATATTTATAAACTACTTTTAGGACGGTAGGACGTAAAACCCAATAATAAAGTTTGGGAGGAATTCTAATTTGAAATATTTTCATAGGAATGTGAAGCCGGCAATCAACAATCAACTAGGACTACCTAGTTTGAGGCAACAGTCAACAACACCTTGAGTTTAAACATGCAAAATACACAAATTACCCTCACCTTAGTCTGTGATACTAAACTGGCAGAGGCAGAGACGTTATCTCGTGTAAAAAATAATACAATTTAATGCAAAACTAGAAGTGAAGAGCCGACCTTTTTCGCCTCTACAGATAGCGATTTCGATTTCCTTTTCTTTGACGTTTGTTTGTGTCTATGTCTACGTGTGACGTGTGGGTGTTCGTGATTTGACGTTTTGATTTTTTTCTTCTCTCAAACGCATGGCAATGACTAGTTTAAATGATTACCATGGAACCTGTTAGTTCATAGTGGTGTGTATATTTTTGTATTTAGTTGCTCGTCGCTCAATTTTAATTTTAACTCTTGTATTATATTGACTGTATTAACTGAATTCCTTGTTATTTATATATTTATAGGTACATTTATTTACTCAAGACTGAATACAAGATGTATTTACCAACATTTTGACTTATCTATGCATTTCATATGTAAAAAATGATGAATAAATGTCTTATGTCTTATGTATAGTATTTTTTAAACTACAGTTTACAAAAACTAGGAGACTTTGAGCAAGTAGATAGAGTAAATACCTATTGGTGTTTTTTTTCTATTTTCAATGCTAAAACGTACCTTAAGCCTTGTTTAAATAAGTTCGACATTCAAAGGAATCAAATGGATTTATTAGGTCGAGTAGGCCTATTTACAATGTACTTCAAAGTTATACCTATGGTTATGCTTAGGCCTAACATATTTTTAGAACTTCTATCTTTTCACACACACAGCTTAAAATCTCTTTGGGTGGTGACCGTTGGTGGGTAGTATAGTATCTTAGATAAAACATACAGGTATTATACTCGTTTAAAAAAGGAAGTGGAGTGTTTGGGAATTTTACAGTTAATTGCGGAGCCTATGGTGTTTGTGCTTGAGGGAAGGTTGTGGATAAACAGAAGGAAATACCGGTACCCGATAACAGTTGATAACAGAAGGAAATAATCTGTTATAAACCTGTTAATTTACTATGTTGTTGTATAGTGAGTTGTTTTATAAGTTATTTATCTGTCTGTTTGTTAGTATTGTCTTTAAATTTTATACTCTTTTCTTGCCCCTGCTATGTTTTTTTTTAATCTATCTATATATTAATAGGCAAGCATGTTTCTTTAAAACCTTTTTTCTCAGCTCGTGTTCATCGTAGAGAAAATCTACGCATACCGTTAGAAAACTATTTTCCTGTAGGTGTGCAGAATCCCTTTATAAATTTAAATAGGCTCAAAGATAAGCACAAAAAATGAGTTAACAAATTTGAAAATATTAACATGGCTCTTATGCGTTGCCATGCTGGTAACGAAATAACAACGAAATATAAACAGAAAACCAAAACAAATGTAATGGAAGAAACTCAAATCACATGTTTTATTTACAGTGTGGGGTGAAAATAGATAAGTGAGTACATTACGTATTTTTGGTCGAGTTTCGACCACTGGACGACCTCTCGTCTATATATTAATAGGCAAGCATGTTTCTTTAAAACCTTTTTTCTCAGCTCGTGTTCATCGTAGGGAAAATCTACGCATACCGCTAGAAAACTATTTTCCTGTAGGTGTGCAGAATCCTTTTATAAATTTAAATAGGCTCAAAGATAAGCACAAAAAATGAGTTAAAAAATTGAAAATATTAACATGGATCTTATGCGTTGCCATGCTGGTAACGAAATAACAACGAAATATAAACAGAAAACCAAAACAAATGGAAGAAACTTAAATCACATGTTTTATTTACAGTGTGGGGTGAAAATAAATAAGTGAATACATTACGTATTTTTGGTCGAGTTTCGACCACTGGACGACCTCTTGTTTATTTAAAACACTGCATGTACGCGATTATTGTATATGTATAGGTTGTGTATATGTGTATAAATGTGTATATATGTATATGTGTATGTTGTGTGTGTATAGGAGATTATTGTTGAATCTCCTATTACCGCCCATAGAAATTTTAACAATTTTTTGTACTATATTTTGTTGAGTTTTATTTTGTTATTGTGACATTTTTTAACTCTTAAAAAAAATTTATGTATTGTTGACATTTGTTTATATACTTATAGATATTTTTTTTTCAATCAACTTCTGTGATAGAAATCTAAAGACGATTTAAAGACTGCTTCTTATTGATAATGATTGTTTTCTTAAGACAAGCAATTCTTGTTTGCTATAAATTGTACCTGACGATGGCCTATACATTTTTGTAATGTTTTCGGCAATAAATGTTTCTGATTTCTGTATTGTATACACAGTGCGCCTGTTTTCATGTGCTCTAGTCTTTGCATACCAATGTTTTTTTAAACTTCAGTATTTTATTTTTAAGATGACTGTGATACTTTGCATGTACAACACTGCACTTGTTTAAATATTTTATTGTTTATATTTATTTAGCCTTATTGCCTGTCAACTTTAGGCTACTATCTTTGACTATTAATACAACAACTTCTGTATCCAATAGTCAATGCTACTATTAATGACGTTCATCCATTGCATGTAATGTACATAGCGTTAACGATGAATAAAAATTCTTGATTCTATAATTTTATTTATAATTTGTTGTCTTATCATTGTTATTCATAATTTTCTGTTTTTAATATGCATGCTTATATTGTTTTCAAACTTCTCGCAAATTGTGTACCTACTCTAATTAATGACAAATGGTGCATTGCCATGAATAAATAAATAAATAAATTTATTAAATCATAATATTACCCATTTCGTAAGTCAACTTAATTGTTATTATTTTGTACTAGGATTATCAGCAGGTATAGTGTAGTGTAAGTCAATTTACATATTAATTTATATTGTAATTGTAACTAGGATTTACCATAGTATGTTTTATCTATGGATTTACTTACATTTAATTTCCCACATTGATGAAACATCTTCTAGTGTACATAATCAATGCTTCCTGTACGCAAGTTCTGTTATATATTGTTACTTCTTTCTCTATGAATGTTTATCCTAAAATTAGACTAGACGTCAAAATCGAGAACAGCAACAGACAACAGGTTTAGGTTTACGTTTTGTCCTCTAGTTTTGTGCTGTGTATGTCGACTTAAATTATCAACCCTTCTAATTTGTTTTTGTTTATTTTGTGAATTTCTTTAGTGTATTAGTTGAAAATAGGTGATTATGGTTTGTAACCTTTGCATTGAGATTCTTGGACCAGCTTTGGCAATGACCCCTACAAAGTGTTTTGTACAATGCTAAGACCTAATCAACATTACAGTTGTTTACAGTATTTTGTTCTTCAAAGATGAAGACAAATGAACTCAGCTAATACTGTATTTATAGTGTGTTCAAAATAACTAATACCACACAGACATTGTTTATTAGATAATGTTAAATTAAAACTTAATTATGGCGGCAAGCAATCTGCAGAAACAAGCATCAAAAGATGTGCCTGGTGGTATACCAAGTAAAGAAGAGTGCATTTACACATCTCATTACTGTGAGGAGAATATCTGGATGCTTGTGAAAAAAATTCAAGAGACCACCCCAGAAAATTTACCTAATTGCTTTGTTGTGTTTATTTCAAATGAAAATAAATACATACCATTATGGAGGCAATCCTCAAGCAAACATGAAAACGGGCTAGTCGTGTGGGATTATCATGTTATAATGGTGTATTACAATGGAATCAAATCATGGGTCTATGATTTGGACACACAACTTTCATTTCCATCACAGTTTAGTGAATACAGTAAAGAGACTTTCAAATCAGACGACTTTCTGAATCCGCTCTGCCACAGGTTCTACCGAGTTGTACCAGCTGAAAGCTTCTTAAAATACTTCTCCTCTGACCGAAGAGATATGAAGAATGAAGATTCGTCATGGAAAATGCCACCTCCTCCTTATCCTCCTATAAGAAGCTGTGAGGATATTCACAACCTCCCTCATTACACATCTATGAAAGCTAGCAACGATTCCGGCCTAATAAGTAAGTTTGGCAATGTCTTCAATTTAAAAGACTTTATAGACAGATTTACATGCAAGAAAAGTCCAGATGTGAACTATATGTATCCACCAGACCCCTTGCAACCAAGTTGGATGGCTTAACTTAAGAGTTTTATAGACCTATTTCAAATTCTTGAGCTCTAGGCTAATGTTAGATTTGAATTTAATGTGGTTAGTAGTTTACAATATTTAAAGACCATAAAAGCTATGCTAAATTGTACCTAACAAACAAAATATCCCTTGATAAACACAACAATCGAACAATGCTCAAAACAGTAGCCTAAGTTAATTATTTGAAGTTTCATTTGCATTGTTCTGTGTTAAACTTAAGTAATTTTGATTCCCTGTAATAAAAATAGGATATTTTAAAATGCTTTCTCACAGTCAAAAGCTTTACGCAACTTACTGCTTCTAACTTATAGACCTAAATAATTACAAGCAGCTAAACTGCTATAGTAGGTAGGCCTACATTACAATTTGGCTTCCTGTGTAATAGTTCAGTGATGCGACATCTGCCTCCCAGAAGGCAGCGATGTCGGCAAGGATTGAGTTGAATGCGTCGCTGCCACATGTACTCCGCCAAGTAGGTATACAGCGCGCTGTGGTGGTTATGTTAGGTTGGGTAACACGAAAGTACCAATTTTTCAGTAGACCCTTTCTTTGGATTAAAGGACATATTTTTATTGTTGCTTTAGTGCATCTGACTTAGCTGCTGAGACAACGTTAATTTTACAAAATGAAATATAGGCTACCTAACCAACTTTGACATCAAACTCACAACTTTGGATCACTTTTAGCACAATAACCAATAGCATTTCTTCATTCAGCAGATTAACCTACTTTAAAAATAAGCTAGATGGAAAATACTCATGATTTTTGTACATCCTTTACCATTATGCGTTTGTTTTATATTTAACCTTTACAATTATTTTATAAGAAGATACATTGTTTTAAGTAGTTTAAATTTGTTCTTCTAAGAAGAAATTATTTTATCATTTTGATATTTGATTGTATTTCCAATGGAAAACATAAGGAATCTCTCGGTTCTTTTGGCTACTTAGGCCTAGAATATGGTGCTAAATGTTTTATTTTAAGCTTATACATTTGTATTTGCTCTAGATAATAATTGGTTACTGAAAATTCAGTTCTATCCTTCAAAAAATATTTGATCCGTAATGTAGTTATTATCATATTTTGTTGATCATATGTTTGAAGATCATGACAGGTACCTAATTCATTATATCATAGTGTAATTGTTATCATATTTTGATGATCATATGTTTTAAGATCATGGCAGGTATAGGCCTACCATAGTTATTTATAGTGTCACTGGCTACAAACAAGAAGCCTACTACAAGAAGTCAGAACATACAATGTTGCTTGTACTTAATACAATTGTTAAGTGTCTCTGTTACATCCCTAAGGATTTTCTCCCTTCCTACTTAACTGATTGTTACGATTGAGACAAGTTTGTAACCCATAAAAGTCACAATTTATGCACACGCCTCCAACCATATAACTTGTCACAAAAAATTGGTTTGTCATTTACAAGAATGCATTTTTTATCTCCAAATTTCATTGGAAGGGATAATTAAAAAAAAAAAATTTAAAGAGGTTGGCAGCCTCTTTAACCTTGCATTTTTCCGTCCACATAGGCTATGAACCTGTGCGTGGAACGTATCCAGCAAAGTAAGGGGTGAGCCGGTACAGTGCATAAAATGTACTGATAAAAAGAAGTGACAGTGACCAGGATTCGAACCCACAACATCTCTGCCTTGGGCCATTGACTTACCTTTGAGTACTGTATTACCATAACAGTGACAATTGGGTAGGGGGTAGCATGTGTCCAAATTAGAAAAAATCATGAAATTATTACATCCTTGTCTTGTAATAGCCCGTAACAGGTTTAGTTTTTAGCTCTTGTAAAAACATTATTTGAATGTTTAATTTAATGGGAAAAAGGAAAAAAATGCTCAAGTAGTCTTCCAATAGTAGTGAAATATAAAATGACTTTTGGCACCTTATTAACAATCTCAATGGTTTAAGTGATCAAAATAATGTATAATGTATTAATGTATGCTGTACCCTAGTGTTGTGATATATGTTTATTTTTGTTGATATGTGTAAAATACATTTATTTATGTTATATTATGTGTTTTAATTTCATCCTTGTAATTCTAGATTTGATAAAAATTCTGGTAATTTAATTTATTTTACAACAAAGTAAGAGCGCCTTTCCACAATCAAATGTTAACTCTCTTTTTCATTATGGTTACATTTTTAATTTTTCTTCCAATTACATAGCTTAGTGGATACATTTATTATACTACAGATAATTATTTCAATATGTTGTTCCCCAGTAAATTTGTAATGTCTAAGCTATTGTAATAAATATCGTTTAAATATTACAAAAAAACCGAGCACTTGGTTTTTTGTCAAATAGGTATTTATTTAAACACTATAAAATGCAACTAGGTTTCAAATAGGATTCCACTAAAATCTCACTGTTTTCAAATTACTCAATTAAGTACTCATACCATTGAAATGCAATGAAATTAAATAAAATCATCTTCAATCTGTGGTGTACTTTTTAAAACTTCCAAAGGCAAAGGAGGGAGCTTAAGAAAAAAACAGATAAAATTTCTCTAAGGATTTATTAAATATTTGGCACAATGGTTTGTACAGAAGAAAACATGCACTTGTAGTGACATAAGAAAAATTGGCACAAAAACAAAATATCACAATCTATGCCGGAAGGCTTTTAAAGGAAGACAAGAAAAATTAGAATAAAATATTACTGACAAAGTAATATTTACAATGCAAAATAAAGAAAGCCAACATCTTTATGCTAATTAACGTGCCAATAGAGTAACAATAAAAGGCTAAGTGTACAAATCTCACAAGTTTCATTTACATTCTTAACAATTTTCCCTATGCTAAATGTCAACAATATTGAATATGTATGATGGATGAATGAAAGAGATTTGTGATGGGCTTAAACTCAACGTCGGTGCTGATGAAGTAAGCTTTGAGGCCTTCCAACTTCTTCTTCTAATTCTTCCTCCTCCTCCTCCTCTTCTTCTTCTTCCTCCTCTTCCTCTTCTTCTTCAGCTACTACTTGCCTCGAATTATCTTTCTTTGTTGCCATCAAAACCTGAGGTTTGCTTATGATTTCGTCTTCATCTTCTTCAAGTTCTTCTTCATACTCTTCGTCATCCTGAATCAAATATAGTAAGACACTATTTGAGACATCTACTTTAAAATCATGGAATTAATTATTAATAGATGAATCTACTTACACAGCGGGATTAGATTTTTATATATACACACATAACTAAATTTAAGAGGAATGCATTTTTTTTTTTTACTAGTATGAATTGATAAGGTGGTGCCACCTAGGTGTGTATTTGAACCCAAATACGAGTAAAGGATGAGTTATTGTTTCACTGTTGCGCTTCTCTTTATTTCAACAACGTCATAGCTTCTCTAACGCCAGGCCAAAGTAATCATCTTTGACAAACTTATTTCTCATGATCGCAACAATAAGTGTGATTATATGCCGCGATCACTGCAATGCCCATAATGATTTCTTGCGATGTCGAACTACCATAATCATACCTTGCAATCGCCGCAAAATGTGTGATGATTTTTGGCGATCGCAGCAATACTTTGATCAATACTTGCAATGGCGGGAACATCAGAATTACAAAAACGTTATGAGAATCTCACACGATAGGCGAGTTCTGTGATAACTTCTCGCGATCGCAGACACATAGGTGATGTCAAAGAATCAAGGCGAAATTTGTGATAAATTCTCACATTCACTGCAACACACGTGATTTCTTGCGATCGCGTCAAATTTAATTTTCCAGCCATTGAGTCAACATCTTCGATTTGTCACGATTTCATATTATAATTTTACACGGTGATCTTGAAGAGACTTATTGATTTCTGGACATCATGGCAACATCCCCAATCATCTCTAGTGATTATTTTTCAACCCACACCCGTGATCATCCAACACCAACTTTGTGATCACGGCCATATCTCCAATCTCACCAGACCTACCTTGCAATTGTTGCAAAATTCATAATGATCTCCTGGAATTGTAGCTTCAGCCGTGATCATTTCCTGCAACCGCGTTAAAGTCCGTGATAATTTATTATGATGGGGGCATTGTCCATGATTCGCAATTTTCAATCACCCAAAACAAGAAAAATCGGAAATTTTTTGGCAAAAAACTATACAAAATTTACGTAGATTCCCGATTTTCAGGTCGATTAGACACCCTGATACTGACAAGCCTTGTATTTGTTTATTTACTGTAAGTACATTGAATTTTCCTTATACTTACGTCATGGTGAGGTTCCATAGTCGATATGTCTGCCGCTGTCTCATCCCCTAGACCTGCTGCGGCACTCGCTGCAATCAAAGCATTTATGTCAAAATATCACAACACAGTCACATGCCAATCCATGCCTCTACAAATAGAAAAGTGTAACAACCAGTTATGCTTTCTGTTGGCAAAATCAATATTTACTTCCAAAATGGCATTATACCTATAACATTTCGATGGACTAATTAGTGTTTGTGTGAAATTTCATCTCAAATTTTCTAGTAGATTGTACGAGAACAACAAGAAAGACACCTAACTTTAAAACAGTAATGATTTAACAATCTTACTGTTAATTATAAAAATTCCAGATATATTGAGGTGTTGTAAAAAAGTCTTTATCCTCATTATACTGTATGTGTACCTTATGCAAGTTCCCTAAAAGGCTAGTGAAAATTTTCTTCAATTTGAACAAATTAGGATGATTAAAAGTTTCTTTGTGGCAAAAATAAGTTTAGAGAATTCAGAGATATGAAACTGTACCTGTTGTGTAGTTTGTAGTCAAATCTTCTTCCACATTAAAACCAAGATTATCTGCTTCTGCTTCATCTTCAGAGGCTAAAAATAATTTGGAGAGTAAGTCCGATACTTGGGTAAGTAAGTATTTAAGAGTAAGAAACCGTTATCGCTAAACCCACAGTAAAGAGCCTAAATAAGAGCCTAAAGAAAAGGATACCACACTACTAAAACAATGTCTCAATGAGAATACAATATTGATTCTCCTATGTTAATTAATTTAAGAAAGTGTTGCTGTTGAAGTTGAACCTTGCCACAGGAAAAGTCATTAACATAAGCTTTTCTTTCTACCTCCCTTACATAAAAAAAAACAATATTGACTGTTACAGGATGTGTTTTTAAACGCAACCCAAGTTACAAGTACTGAAAGACACATTTTGATGACAAAACAAGGGCATGTGTTGGTATCCCTGTGTTCTATACTTCATTGCCAATCAGATGATATGCATTGTTGCATTATAGTTATCTATGAGAATTAGTGTTATTGGGAATTTATTGTTAATAAGACTCAACATGAGGTTTTCGCTAGCTCATATAAAGTATGTACCCCATTGTTGGTCTGTTTATTTAAATCGTAGAAAAATTGATTTATTAAGTATTGAAATCATACCTGGAAACTTGATTTCAAACCTTTTTTGGCATAAAAACAATTATTTACTTTTAATGTATTCTTCACCAATACCCTGATAGAATATTGTATTGTATGTCTACGTTTATGGATTTTCTACAGATCCGATTTCTTGATACAGTATATTTGACAATAAATAATTGAATGGTTGATTTTTTAGCCATTGTAATCATACATGGAAACCTGATTTCAAACCTATCTTGGCATTAAAATATTAATTTATTTTTAACCCTTTGGGTGCCAGAAATTTATTTTGGTACTTTCCGAAAAGTTCCAGTTTTTTTACTAGGTATGTCTGAAAAGTGCCAGCCTTTCCGTGGGGGCGAAGCGTAGTGCGCAAGAATAAAAATCGGTAAAAGTGTAAATTTTCATCTCAAAAGTGCCATGGAACGATATATCGTCCCTCGATCATTTGAGAAATCGATTGAAATCATTGTTGTTTTATAATAACAACCGAGTCAACCGATATGCCCATTAAATCACATGATCGAAAGTCGCGCCGGCCCGATATATCGTTGCAATGTATTTTTCTGTAAGACTACCGACGACGATATATCGTTGTGAAGTATTTTTCAGATGTGTTGTGCAAAACGATATATCGTTGCGTGGCACTCAAAAGGCGTAATGTGCAATAGATACTCTTTTGAGCATTGGGAAAACACCATGTTATGTCTTATTCACAATGAATTCCCAATGACACTAAATTTCTTAGTTAACTTTCCAACAATGCATATCAGCTGATTGTAAAGAACACAGGGATACCAACACATCCGCCTGTAATGTCATTAAAACGTGTCTTGCAGTACTTGTAACTTGGGTTGGGTAAAAAAAAACATCCTGTATCAATCAATATTGTTTTTCCCCAAAAAGAATGTAAAATAATCCTTATTGTGCTAAATATAAACAGCATGGTTCAGATACAATGTACGCTCACTGAAATATTAGTGAGCTCTGGCCAATAGGATAAAGGTATTGGTTAAGTGTAAGCAGTAACATACATTTCCGAATTCTGAGGATAAATCAAATCGTGCATCAACAATAAAAGAAAGTATAGCTGTACAGAGTTAAAATATAAAATAATGTGCTGCCAACTGGCAGGAGTCAATACACATAGCCTCCTCTAATACAAGGCCAAGGCAAGAAAAAATTGGCAACACCGCTGTACCGTCCAATCGAAACAGCTGTTGCACTAAATTTATTAAGGATAGTAAAGGAAATTCATGTTTAGACTTTTATTCCTGTTATTAACGTGGCAATAGGCATGACGTTGCCACACACAACTATGGTAACGAATATTACCTTGTTCAATGCCTTCATCCTCTTCTTCTTCTTCTTCTTCGTCTGACATAAACGTGACTTCAGGACCTCCGTTGTCTGCCTTCAATGTCTGTAACATCAAATACAGTCAGGCCTAGATTCCTGGGAGGAAGTTAACAATCAACTCCAAAGTGAATTTAAAAACTGCTTTGTAAGTTCACTTCTGGTTTAATTATTTTAAATTAGCTCAATGTAGTTTGCACCAA